AAACAAAGGACACTTTGAAAGAGAATTGAGCAAGCTTTCATTTGTTGTTTATTTTTCGTAGCCACAGCTCAATTTGCTACCAACGTATTTCAAGTCAAAAATCGGTTCATTTATTTCGCACACCTTGTATATATGCCTCCATAAATGAGTTTATTTTGTCAGTATCTTCCTCCTGGCAGGACAGCCAGACGAGTAAATCACTGGAATAAACCCAAGTAAAACGACAATAATACAGTAGATTGTAGAACGGAATGCATAGAATAAGAAAAATCCAAAAAACCAATGAAAAATCGAGTTAATTTATTAAACCCTTTCGTTTCTTGCACCCATTTCAATCGACACTGTCTTCGCCGAAAATTGGTGGCCAATAACACGTCATTCTTGAATACATTATGTCTCCCCCGAACCCTTCCCATCATCGGGCAAGAAAGCTGACATTTTTTTCGTTTTNCTGACCTCAAAACGGGTTTGTCTATATATACGAGTGTCCGCTATACTATGTTAAGTTTACTCTCTCAGAACGTTTAACGCGAGAACCTTGACGCCGCATGCTCATATATTTCTACGCTGTGTGAAACGGAAATAAAAGATGCACTTGTAAAGTTTGTCGAAGTCTAATTTTGATTCTTCGAAAGCATGCGGAAAACAGTCAAATCTTTGATACCAACAGTCAACAGTTTTTATCAGCAGCAATTGTCTGATCAACAACTCTGCTTGAATTTTAAGCTGGTTAAGACAACACTTCTTAGTGACGTACATGCGTCAGTATCTTTCATGTACATTGGGGCGCTGACGTACGGACGATTTGACTTAGAGACGGTTGAACACGAAAATGATGCCCCAATATCCAGAAAATGCAACAAAATAGGGACACTTTCTTCTACAACATTTCACGTACATGTATCATGAAAAAATCAATTTGTTTAATGTTCGCAGTAATTAATTTTTTATTATAATTTTGTATATTTTTATTATGAAGGTAATTTATTTCATAACCTTAAATAGGCTAATTTTGTGTTTCACTTTCAAGGTTTTTCCATCATCTGTGCACAGCATAGCAGCAAATCTTGTGCTTGTTCTTTCCTTTCTCACTGGATCATTTTCACACCAAAAGGAGGAATTGCCCAGTTTTCTCCTGCGCAGTTACATTCTGTATCTTGAAGTTGAGTAGAATGCTACTCATTTTTTCGAGAACATTTTCCTAATCTTTGCGAAACTTGCCGGAGAACCAATTAAATATGGCTGGACCCTGACATGAGGATGTTCTCACATGCACAAAAGTTGACTAAGGGACACTTGAAAGAAAACTTGTGAAATCTGGACAATGTGTCAAGCAGCTCAAGCTACAGACCCTTCAAAATTTCTGGAAAACATTCATTGTTTTCAATCTTGATGTACCTCAAAGAAAATGAGCTATTATTCATGTTTAAAAAAATTGAATCATAAGATTATTCTAATTCATAGTGCAAAAAACAGGCAAATTTTGTGCTTCTTTTTCAGTGTTCATCATGTGCATGTACAGTACATGCACACTATAGCTAAAATTTTTCTTTGCTTCTTGAACTCACTTTGTTGACAAAAGATCATATTCTGAGTGATATTCTTCTGCGCACTTAATGTATGTCCCTTGACAAAGAAAAAAAAAAATTTTTGGAGACATTATTCCTGATTTTTTTTAAAAACAATATGAAACAATTAACTCAGTTCCCATTGGAGTGATTGGGAAGACGTAATCCAGCAAAAGGAAAATAAGGTCCAGGCACTAATTACGTCCTTGCCTTGGGGCCCATCTGATATTCAACCAATGATAAATATACTGTACAGGGTGGGCCAAAAAAGTGAATGGATTTTTGACTTGAAATAGCTCAATAGAAAATTGAGTTGTGACAATGAAAAAAGCGCCAAACAAAAGCTTGTCCAATTCTATTTCAAATGTTAGGTAGTTTTATGGTCCCAATAAGTGGCACAAAATGGTCTCAAGAACCATTTGAATAATGAAGACTTTTAAAAATGAAAGTTGTGAGGCAACTTTTTCCATCATGAGTTGCTGTTCTTGAGAGGTCTTTGCATGAATAAAGGAAATGCAGGATGAAATAATTTAAACATAAACCGCGTGCTGCCTTGGAGAACCTATACATGTTCCCAAAATTCAGAAGGAGGGGGTGAAATGGGGGAAGGACATTGGCAAGATAGGATGCTGCAGGGCTTTGGTTTGGCATGCAAGCTGCTGGGCTCTGGCCTTGCAGCTCCCTGTGACCCATTGGCCACTGCATGCACTTTTTTTTTTGCATGACTGGATTGCTCAAAATTCCTTCCACTCAAAATCAGTTTTCACTTAAAATCAGTTTCAGCAATCCAGTCATCCAGAAAAAAAAAAGTGCATGCAGTGGATGACTATAGGAGCCCCACAAGGTCAGCACACAGCAGGAGCTCCACAGCTTCCTATCTTGCCACTTTCCTTCACCCTTTTCACCCCCTCCTTCTGAAATTTGGGAACATGTCCAGGTTCTCCAAGACAGCACAAAGTTTTCTGGTTAAATTATTGAAACCTGCATTTCTTTTGTTCATACAAACAGCTCTCCAGAACAGCAGCTTTGTGGAAAAAGTTGCTGGACACTTTTTTTTTGTTGAAAGTTTTCATTCAAATGGTTCTTGTGACCATTCTGTGGCACCATAAAACAAAGGACACTTTGAAAGAGAATTGAGCAAGCTTTCATTTGTTGTTTATTTTTCATAGCCACAGCTCAATTTGCTACCAACATATTTCAAGTCAAAAATCGGTTCATTTTTTTCGCACACCTTGTATATATGCCTCCAAAATGAGTTTATTTTGTCAGTATCTTCCTCCTGGCATGATAGCCAGAGTAGATTGTAAAACCGAATGCATAGAATAAGAAAAATCCACTTTTGGTTACTTTTTAGCTCAATTAAATAATTTGGGAAAGCAAAGAACGTGGGTAAAGTTAGCTGTGACAGAAGCGGCTTTTAACCACCGGTTATTGTGCAGTAAGAACTTATGTAATACAGAGGGGCGAACCCTTCCCATCATCGGGCAAGAAAGCTGACATTTTTTTTCGTTTTGTTTTAAGCAAGCATCAAACACGTCTCATTCAAAGTTCGATAACTGAAAAAAAAAAACAACCCAATCAGCTCCACAATGAGTAAAAACCAGACGAATAAACGAGCGTCGACAGCACCTATAGAATACAACCGCACAACCAATTTAGCAATTTTTTTAAAGAAACCATCAACCCTTTTAGAGTACATCCGTTTCGGGAATGTGAGCAAAAATAGAAAGCCAATGTTGTGAGTGAAAAGAATATGTCGACATGTTTGCTTTACCCCCCTATGTATATAGATGGGTTATTGAAACGCAACAAATTGGGAATTGAAATTCAAAATTAGCTGTTGCCGAAGAAAACAGCGAACAGAAATTCCCTCGGGTAGAAATAAACCTCTTTTTTTTCAACTTTTTCTTTCTCCGAACTTGAGAAACAAAATTCGAATCTACACCGGATCGACAATTATCAAAATATTCGCTGTTGGACGAGGCTTTTCACGTGAAATGATGAGTCGGAAGAAAATTTGCATGACGTTTTAAAAGTATAATTAAAGGAAGAAAAAATCGGTGATTTATATACGTGTACAGGTGAAATATTACTGCTGTATACACACAAGAAAAACAACTAGAAGTTTCGTCAAAAAGAGATTATAAAAAAATTGAAAGCATCAGCTCGTATAAACTAAAAAAAATAGCCGAGTTTCCTCGCGGAAAATGCAAGCCCAAAAACTAAGGAATCAACGAAAAGCAGTTAATTTTTTAAAGAAAAATATTATTGTTTCTGGTTTGTGATACAGTATATTATTTTTCCGTTGACAAAAGAAAGTGTTCATTACGTTTCCTGAGCATTGCAGCAGCTACTTCAGAACACTAAAAAATAAATACAATACAATAGCAAATAAAACTTCATGCGGAGTTTCTCCGACTCTCATTTCCGTTTCCGGCCCTGCTCACACACCAACAACAGCATTTGTGACGTTTCTTCACCGAGAATATTAGAAAAAAGCACGTTTTCGCAGCAGCAACATCTTTTACATGAGTGTGTTGGTTAAATCGTTAAAAAAATTTCTTTGGTAGTTGGGAAAATCTCATGTAGGCAAAGCCCTTACACTCGTTTTTATCTTTCGGTTACAACACTCACTTTTCTTATACAGCTGTACAAACGAAACCCCCCTATGTATATAGATGGGTTATTGAAACGCAACAAATGGGGAATTGAAATTCAAAATTAGCTGTTGCCGAAGAAAACAGCGAACAGAAATTCCCTCGGGTAGAAATAAACCATTTTTTTCAACTTTTTCTTTCTCCGAACTTGAGAAACAAAATTCGGATCTACACCGGATCGACAAATAACAAAATATTCGCTGTTGGACGAGGCTTTTCACGTGAAATGATGAGTCGGAAGAAACTTTTCATGACGTTTTAAAAGTATAATTAAAGGAAGAAAAAATCGGTGATTTATATACGTGTACAGGTGAAATATTACTGCATACACGCAAGAAAAACAACTAGAAGTTTCGTCAAAAAGAGATTATAAAAAATATTGAAAGCAGCAGCTCGTATACACTAACAAAATAGCCGAGTTTCCTCGTGGAAAATGCAAGCCCAAAAACTGAGGAATCAACGGAAAACAGTTAATTTTTAAAGAAAAATATTATTGTTTCTGGTTTGTGATACAGTATATTATTTTTCCGTTGACAAAAGAAAGTGTTCATTACGTTTCCTGAACATTGCAGCAGCTTCGGAATATACTTGAAAAGAAATACAATAGCAAATAAAACTTCATGCTGAGTTTCTCCGACTCTCATTTCCGTTTCCGGCCCTGCTCACACACCAACAACAGCATTTGTGACGTTTCTTCACCGAGAATATTAGAAAAAAGCACGTTTTCGCAGCAGCAACATCTTTTACATGAGAAGGAGATACTCTTTCACTTGTTTTTTGTTGTTGTTGTTGTTGTTGTCTCTTCGTTCTTTGTTTTTGTTTAGATGATGTTGCCAATGTAGCCGTAGTTTTGCAGGGATGCCAACACGATGTAGACGATCCACAAGGAGAAGATCACACCGGCCGACGCGTACTTGGGACCCTGAGGGCCACCCAACTCTGCGTTGCCAAACACAGACAAGTACCTTCGTGCGTAGATGATTGCGATTGTGATCAAGGCGCAGACTGTGAATACCGACACTCCAAAGCCCAGGGAACCCGAAGGTACCCGGAATTTTGTATTCTAATGAAAAAAAGGGGAAAAAAGGATGTGGTTAGCAATTTAATTAAAAGCTCTGCTGAGGTTGAGAAACACACTCTTGTTGTTGCCAATATAGAGGTGGTGAATCTCAATCTGACCCTAATTCATTGCTGGAGGAAAGTTGAATTGCAAAGTGGTCAAATTGTGAGACAGCATAAAATGACATTTTTTCTAGACATACAATTTGATGTTTCAAGTCTCTCCACACAGGTTGAATAGTACAGAAGAGGTCAAATTGAGAGTTGACCTCTCAGCAAATTGGACTATCAAATTGCAGGACACTGAAATTGCAGGAGGTTGAATTGCAAGGTACCACCTGTATACTGTACTGTACATACAGTGGGACTCCCTGATGCAATGATATGCAGTCAAACATATAGCTCTTCAAGTAGAATTTCAAGGGGGAAATTGAGTTAAGGAGGTTTCCAGTTTGTAGAGAAATAAGCATTGTTGGTATTGGAAAGATAGAAGGATTGCAGGATATTGTAAATGGCCATGTTCTGGGTGTCAAATTGATTCTCAAATGAGTTGACAAGAGGCTTAACTTGTAGGGAAGAGTTTGCCCAAATTGTCATTCACTTCCTTTCCAATACAGCAAATTATGGTGCTTATTTTATTGCTTTTATCTTTACTGAGTCAATCAAATAATAGCCAAAAGTCCTCAGCAAATGTGAGTTAGAAAGTTTGAGAGGAAAAGCCTCCAATTTATACAGGTTTTTAATTCATTGTTTCTAAGGGAAGACTTTTCCTCTCCAACCCCCATGACTCAAATATTCTGGAAGCCTTTTGTCAATTATCTTGTCAATAAAACAGGAGAGAGAAAAGCAATACAAATGTAACCATAAGTACTTAGGAAGGAAGTGAAAAATTAATTGAGGAAATGGACCCTTGTCTCCATCATCAATTCATTCAAAAATCTATTTTGTGTCAGGAATATCACCAATTAGAATTTCCTGCAATTCTTTCTTCCCCCCACCAACAAAAATGATCGTCTCCGTTACTTGAAACCTTGACGACTCATATTATGTTTATGGCCCCTTCTTGAAGTTTGACTTTTAGAGAGGTTCATTTGCAATGAGATATGCTGTATATAAAATTTACTTACATTCATTGTGTGATAAATGGCGGCCATGAGCCAAGGGAGTCCAAGACCCAGAAACACGTTCACGGAATTGGATCCCGTCACATTGCCGATTGCCAGATCGGCGTATTTCTCACCCGCTGCAGCTGCTTTGGATGCGAACGTATCCGGCAACGAAGTACCCATTGCCACAAAAGTAATGGCTGTAAAGCAAATCAAGGACGAAACCCTCAATTTTAAAGAGGCAAAATTCCATTGAAGATCTCAGGCCGTTCAAGAAAAGCATAAAATTTCAAGATCGACTGAATTTGACTGAATTTGCATTGAAAAGAGAACATTCTATATACGAACCTGTGACTTCGTCACTGAGCCCGACGAGGCAACCAAAGATGGCCGCGCAGTCACCAACAATTGCGGTGAGAATAGCGATGAACAGCAGCGATACGAAGAAAGATAACCAACCGCCCCAAATGTCCACCGGTGGGATGACGCAGAAAATTAGCTAAGAAAGAAAACACACGCATCTTATGAATACACAGGTACGAAAACGAAGTGAACTTGAAAAATAGATGATGGACGGAAGACCGTCACTGTGGAAGTGCATTAAAACTCGTTTAACCATCACGTTTGCCACAAGTAGACCGCCTGACTTCGCCCGGAAAATCAAATACAGTACTTCATTACGGACAGTGTGGGATATTATCAATTGTATTCAGCAAATGAAAAGTGATTTCATGGGTGATCCGGGAAGTACTGCAGTGATGATAATGAATGACATCATCAGTGATATTGAAGTTCTCTCGACCTCACGGCAGCAGTTGTACAGATCTTAGAATAGCAAAATTAGCTGATCGACACGGCTTACGTTGAAATTACTGTACGATGATTCTTCAAGCTGTTATCTTCCGTATAATTGACTATAACTCTGGGGACTGTCTATTCAATGCCACGTTCATTCATGCCTGTATACAGTAGAATCGAATTATAGGCAGTATAGAGGGGCATTTTTGTTCACCTTCCAAGCAAAGGTGAGGATGTGCATGACGTAGTCAATCCAGGTCGCGTTCTCCAGATCACCACCGTTCACGTTCAACGCCTCCTTGACTTGCGCGGCCCACGTTTCGTGGGTTACTTTGAGTTTGTCCAAGTTGGCATTTGTCATCGCCATCATCTTATTCATCATCGATTGAAAATCTGCCCGAGAAGAGCATGTCTTCAACACAACGTTCAATGATTTCGGGAGAACATCTTCAAACATCTCAAAATGTTGTTACACTGAGAAAAATCTCCGAAAAAAGCACGAAAATTATCTCCTACCCACTGCATATTTAGTTCGTTGCGACACTCTCGTATCTTTACATGTTAATTGGCTTTGTGCTATATAAATGCACACTGACAGCTGCAGTAACAAAATTGCAACTAATCCCGTGCACTTAACAGTTTCTCGGATTCTAATTCAGTAATTCAAAACTTTGGAAAGCATTTCCTCGAGGGGCTCATCACTGCTGAACGCAAATTCATGCGTTGGTGCATACTTCATGGTACATATTAGATGTCGGTAGGAAATCGACGTATTTGTCGGAAGAAAACAATGGCCGATTGCTTAACATGGAAGATTCTCGCTCAATTTCGGATAAGAATTTGACAGCGTCAACTGAATTCATTCCAACTGTCGTTACAAATCATGACCTTTAAATTTTTTGTAAAATTAACTGCTGTTTACCGTCGTCGTTGACGATTGTGATAGTCGTGCGATTCAACCTCCCAACGCTGGCACCTCCTGTTGGATCGAACAACTCCAATTCAAAATGCTCGTTTTTCTCGTAATCGAAATCATTCATGATCGGAATTTCAATCTCCAACTCCGTCTGTGAAGCAAAACAAAAGTCAATTTCAAAGATTCGATCATGCAGCATTCAGGCGGTTAAGGACCAACGAAAGTTTCGTCCGAAAAATACCCCCAAGGAACTAACCTCGTTGTTCCTGAAGACTAACGTTCCTTCTTGAGGAACATAATCCTTCCCAGCTACTGCGGATCTATGGGGAATCATCGATTCGAAGGTCAGTACTGATTTTATAACTCAAATACATCCATTATGCTTTATTCTTATATTCTGAGTTTTAAAAAGTATTATGAACACCTGTCAATGGTCTTGTATTTGACGGAAATTTCTCCGTCAGCGCCATTCCGCCGCATCACTGGGATGACACACGCGCCGCAACTTTCTTTCACCAAATAGCATCCTTTCTCGAACGAAATGACACCAGGATCTGAGGAAGAAAAAAATCATGGTTGTAAATTTTAAAAATACGACATTTCGAAATTTGCACGTTTTTGTTTGGAACAATTAGGCTTCGACGTTGTTCAGAGAAAGAAAACATGAACGTAATACTCTTTGGTTTGGATTACATTCGAATACCGTGAAACACGTTCGAGTTCAAAATTTCATCGATTTCCCGCGGAAAAGAATAAGGCACAAGGATTTGCTAACTTTATATTAAAAAATTTCAATTATATGAGATGGTATCATGTGTGATTGATGAAAAGACACACGTTTTAAAGTCAAGATGCACTGTGCACGTAAACTATTTCTGGGTGACTAAACTGGAATGCGCGGTCATTCAAATATAAATGATCCAGTTGACTACCTAACATTGGATTTCCCTATTCACACGTATGTGCTGAAAATGCAGAAATTTTGTGAGATTCACATCAGAAGAGATTCTCAAATTTATAGTGCATCCTCATATAGACATCATCGACTCGGAAAATGATTTGGAACAATACCTTTGCTTCGATCATGAGGATAATCTTAGGGTATAAATCGCGGAGTACTTTACGGTAGTATTGCCAAGTGTAGTCATCGCAACCGCGATTTCTGGCACAAACATTAAAAGTTTTTTAAATTACCATCGTCATTCAAGATGGTGATTTCCATGATGGACAGCTTTCCCAAGACGAGACCATCATGCGAATGTGGGTACTCGTCCAACGGCAGCAAGGACAATTTCAAGAAAAATTCTTCATCCGGCTCCCATTGATCGTCATTGATTATTTCCACCTCCACCTGCATGAAATGTGGGCCATCATTCACGCTATTCCCTTGCCTTTCATAATTTTTTGTGCATCTTTACACTACTCATTAATTGAACAATTACGTTTAGAGAAACGCTGATCAGATTATTAACAAAACGTTTGATGAAACCACAATACATTAAGGTCCTGAACTCGAAAAGATCTGCCGATATACACCCGGATAATTTTTCGAGTTATGGACACGTTTCAAAAATTTCCAGACAATTGAAAATTTTTATTTTTCAAAACGTTGATCTCTCAAATAAGAAAATGAGCTACTTTCTAAGTACAATTCCATGTCCAAACATTGGAAATTGTACTTCATTTACTCCAATTCTTCCTCCAAAACAAATCAATTTTGCGGTTTTATTCTACGGGATTTTCCATCAACTGCGTACAGTTCAGCAAGGCGTGTGTCTTTTGTATTTGTTTACTTTGTGAACTCATTTATATGCCAAAAGGATAGTTCTTGGGTGGTTTTCTTCTTAAATAGTCAAAATCTCATAATAAAAAAACATTCTTATATCATTTTTTGGAAAACATTTTAAAATTCCGAGCAAGAACGTAGAAGTGACTAAAAAATGTGTCTTTTCAATTTCATGGGAAAATACGATCTGCCACAAGGGTGTTCCTACAAATTTTGTATGATTGCTCATATCATAAGTGGAAATCGATTTGTTCAAAAAAAGATCTTTGGAACAAACCTCCTTCTCAAGTTCATTTGGCTGAAACGTCAGGATCTGGTTGATGGGCATGAAGTCTGCTTCTGACGTCGCTGAACCATCAATCGTCTCAACTCTGCCACGAAAGAACAAGAGAATAAGAACATTCAGGCATGATTTAAAACGCCGTCGTGAACGAAGAAAAACAACGCATTTTTCCAAAGATTAAGTCATTCTGCTGCAAAAAATGTACGACTCGAAAAGTGGACGAGACGTCTCCGGACGTTCAGACATTGGCACAATAAAGTCCAATGTACCTATTATTTCCACATCTTGGGGCCCCACATGCAAATTGAGTCATTTGCATTTTTTTAAATGTCCCTATAAAATTACCCTAATTTGTTAACAAAAACGGGCCAATTTTGTGCTACTTTTTTCAGTTTTTTCCATCAAGTGTTATCAGTATAGCAAGACTTTTTCTTGTACTTTGCTTATTAAGCTCCTTTCTGATGCCAATAAATGATCAGATCTTGTGAATTTTTCTCCTGTACATTCATTTTCTGTATCTGGACGTTGATAAAAAAATTATTTTACTGAATTTTTGAGCAGAGCTTTTTCTCAACTATTTCTTTACAGCAGAACTGATGATTAAAAATATTCCCACTGAAGTCTATGGGGAAATGAGGTCCAAAGTGTGCACATTCTAGGGACAATAAGATCCATATGCACCAATTATGTTTGTTGGGGACTGCAGCACACACATATTAAATACAGTACAGTATCAGCTTTCTAAATTTGCAAATCATGAGTTGCGCCATATATAGAGATTTTTTCCTTTGGCAATTCTTGTGGATTTCATTTATTTGAGCCAGTATTTTATTTTCCAACTGTGTCACAATTTTGTTCAATGATTATGTGAAATGTTTTTAACCTGTTTTCATTTTACCTGTGATGTATGCAAAAATAGATGAGTCTCATTTCAGCACTGAAACAAAATGGACGTTTTGCCATGGTCCTCTCTGCCTGTGTTGGATATATGTTCATCGAATTAAATTTCTGCTCAGGGGATGCATAATTACCCCTTTGCATAGAATAAATTTAACCTCTGGAAATCTTTCAAGTCAGTCACCTATTATCAGCAACATATACATGTTGCAGAAATAAATTCATTCATCTAAATTTAGAAACAATGCTTTTGAAGTCACTGTTTGCACCAAAAGCTTGTGCATCAGTGAGATAAGAATCTGGCATGAAGGTTTTCCAGATTATCATCACCAAAGAAAAGTTAGGTTCAGAGAAGTGAGAATACCTCAAGATCTGTCAATCAAGTCAATTTTTATATCGTCGTACAAAAAAAGCTGCAAGACATCTTTAGCTTTAATTTAAGATGTTGTGAAATTTTCTAAGTATAAAATTCGCAGAGGTATTTGCTTTGGAAGTTTGCACATCGGGAATTGCGCCATAGGCAAAGCATCTTTTCTTTGCTGATTTTCTTTTTCTTTTTGAAGGTGAGTTTTTATTGAACAATGTGAGATTGTATTTGCTGATTGTGTGTGTGTGATTGTTGTCTTCATGAAACCTGTGATCAGAGACAATAACAAGAGTCCTCTTTTAACATCCAAGGAGTACGTGAGGATGCTCCAGCTTCTTTTATTTTTCTGCAGCCATGATGTAGTTTTGTACTTTTAAAATTAAATCCCCTTGGAGGCTGGGTAACTGCCTCAGCACTCAGATGTCTCTTGCATCTGGAATATTTTTAATGCAGCTTAACATCTGCAATATATACAGTTTCTCAAACTGACCTGATCTGAATGGTGTTGTCCATGCGACCATGTCTAGTGATGCCGACCTTGAATTTGCCAACGGATTCGGGAACTGCGCAAGTGGCCGCGTGGAACTCCACCACGGCGTTTTTGTGCGCATCGGCTTCTTGCAGTTCCCCCAGCGTCGGCGCATCCGGATGCTCATTCATCGCATCGTACACCTACAATCCGTCCATTTCGAATATTTCCACGACGAAGACGATGATGACGAAACGATAGAAAGACGAAAGCAAAACAATCGTTTGAAAAACCATCATCAGGGAAAGCAGGAAACGACAGATTTCATCACGATTTCTACAGATCGAGCATCCAACAAAAAGAAAAGAAAACGTGTGAAACATTCCCGGAACAGAAATACGAAGGTCCAGCAGTCGCCAATTTTCGAGACGCTTATCATCACACTAAAACTGATGACTGAACACTATACATATTCATTCCATGCGCTTTTCCCATCACACATCCATAATCGCGAAGAAAACATTTCTGCATGCATTTTTTCAATAACGAAAAGAACGCAGTTTTTTTTTCTTTTTCAACGTACTGTACGTGAAATCCAGATGACGGAATTTGACGTAAATCACACGAAATAACCAGCAGTGATGAGTTTGTGCTGTCTATAACGAAATAAAACTCTCATTTGTACCAATATATTTTGGTCATGATGCCTGTTGAATATTCTGGTGAATTATACGCATATACGAATGAAAGTGCGAAGAAAAACAATTTTAAAAATTACCCCTAAAGGATACAAATATCAAAACGAAATACAGTATACTGTACTTGAAACTGCAACTGAAATCTCCGAGAAAAAAAATCGCATCCAATTGCTTGCGTAGTAGAAATTAGAGCAGACACCCCGGAGGTTTCGGAAATTGAGACATTTTGTACGAAGAGGTTTCCTCTTCAGCACTAATCAGTCCCTTTCATGAATGAATAAAATAATTAATTGCATGGATAATTAGATTATATGCAGATGAGATGACCTCGAAATTTCCCAACTTCTAACAAAAACACTCCAGAATCATTCTCATTGATGAAAATTTTCTTCTTAATTCTAGATATCAAGAACCCAGGGAATAATGCACACATAAAGTGTATATACACACATCAACTGAAGAAGATTCAATTTAAAAAGAAAAGCAAGGCATCTGTTTATTGAGGCTTTTCACACGGTTCAAAAAGCGAAGCGGATTTCATTCTCCGGTCCGAAAATGAAATACCCTCACCGATTTCTCCAATTTCTGCACATGTTTTCCGTCCGTTTCGAAGTGAAATCCAGATGTTAATTTGGAAAAAGAAATTAATGAATGAAAGTTCAACAAAATATGCACTTTTCAACTACGTCATCATGCAGCTCGTCGACTTCCAACGATAGAAATCGTCGGAACATTTCCGAAAAGGCATCATCATCGACAAAATATTCCCAAGAAAATAATCAATATGCCATTTACGCCGACAAATAGAAATTCGGCGAAAAATATACCATTGCCAGACACAACAAAAACCCAACACATACTTCAACGATATAAATGAATTGGAGTAAATAAAAAAATGGAGACAAACTATAATGAAAACTCAAACTCTGCCAGCTTTTTCGCGCTGGGCTATAGCTTCTTTTTCAAAGAAATCGCTGTATACCTACAAATTGAAAATAATTCATGAAAAAATAAGCAACGATCTTCGAATATGAAAACAAAATCACGCAGTGGAATTGAATTACCGATTGTGAGACCTTATTGTTCGAGGAGGAGAAAATCGTGAAGCACGACGCTTTTTTCTTCTGCGGAGTCGCCGTTGCTTCCTGCACCTTTTTTTTTTTGTGGCAGATAATTCCCAGAGGAAAACAAAAAAATATACGATTCAAAATTCAGAGAAAATTGTCTCATTTTCGTGTAATAGTTTCCAGCCTCACGACGAAAATTTTAAAAATTGCGAGAACTGTACAGTACAGTATATTGGTTCAAACAATTTGTCTGTATACTAGTCATTTTGGAAATCCAACCTTTTACTGCCAAAAATCTCAGAATAAAATGCATTTATGATCAAAAATGACGCATTGAATAAATCAGTGTTCATGACATTCTCTTTTAATTTACTTCCAATTGTTCAATTTCATTTCCGCCAATATTGCATCAACTTTCAGCGCAACTTTGAAAGTAATGTGCAAATATAATTTTTAAAATACATCACAGTGAACCCAAAATTTATTGCCACCCACGCACGGTGCCACAAATTTTCCTATAATCACTGAAGAAAACCGAATCATTTTTAATGAGGTATTTTTTAAATTAGAAGTGTTCATCCAATCAATATGAAACTCTCGTCAATTTCGCTTTCAGCGTTCTGTAATGATCTGCTCATTCCAGTTTTTGATAGAATCGTAAAAGCGTTAAAAATACTGTATTTAAGAAATTTGTAGAAAATTAGGCTTAATTTTGTTGCATAAATCCAGTATCAATATTTCAACTTGGCGAACGCACATTTTTACTTTATCGTAAATGATAACTCCAAGATAATTTTAAAACAGAAAAATGAGTTTTCAGTTAAAACTGCTAATTAATTCCGAGTGTCTGAGCCTAATTTGCTCAGAGTTATGCGTTTACAGTAATTTAAAACTACCGGTATATGAGGAAGCATTGTAAAACGGGAAAGGTATGAAAAAACATGCGTAACAATAAAATCTATAATTATGTTCTCAACAATTTCGGGAACCTCAAGAATAATGTCAAAGCTCATGAACCATATTCCTCGCAATTTTCAAATTTTTCTTCACGATGAATTTTTCGGAAAACCCTTGTGCGGAAAATGTTTGAAACGTTATGGTATTGTGTTGTTTTCCACAACAAAAACAATTCATTCACACGTTGTTCACACGTGTTTTTGCAAGATTCTGGGTAATGTGAAAAGCACATTTAACCTTCGAGGAAGATGAAACTGCAATTTTGAGACCATAACTACTCACTCCAATTCCTTGTGAAATTGCAGGTGAATCAAATCGTGCTTCGTGTGCGATTTACAACAGTCATTTCGCCGTTTGAGAAAAGTACTTTTCATCTTGAAAAATGTTGTATTGCGGTTCTCAAATATGGAACCCGGTTTGCGCCGACCGCCGAAAATACATAGCCACAATCACAATTTTGATCCGTACATCAATTTCATTGTTTTAAGACAAGTGTATCATGGGAAACATGCGCATTTCTGAAACTTTTTCAAATGGCTTTTTTTGACACCTCGTCTGGAAATTGAAAATGCCTCGGCGCTTTTGAAAGACAGTATCAATGCTCATGGCACTAAACATGCACAAAATAAAAAAAGAGATTGAGCTTTTCACGCATAGTTGCTTGGCATCAAACGTGAGTTTCGGGGAATCCTGCAGTAAAACCCATATTTGCGATCGAGTCACCTCCATAATACAGGGAAGCAACGCAATAAAGATCCATTTCTCCGATTACTCAGCGACATCTACGAGAAGACAAACGCACTATGTTTTTGCTCACGTTCGCGCCCTTCATCCGTACTCAGCGAAATCGACCAATTTTACAACTCGACCGAATTGTTACGTTATCTTATGAAGGAAATATAAGTTCCTTCGAAGTAGTTTTATTTGTATTTCTTAGATGTCGCTCGAGTATAGCTCCCCAGAGGTAAAATGGCGAACGCGCTCTCACACGTCACAATCGATTCCATCAAGGTTGCGAGGGACTCTGATGCACGACTCGGTGAAGTTTTCAAGCCAACGAAATACGAGTCAATCAAAATGGTTCCCTTCCATTCACGGGATTCAGCGTCTATATAAGCACAGCATACGCGTATAATGCTGCGATTCTTCGATATTTTTCTTCCTGAAAACGAGAGAGTAGGAAAGAAGGAGGAATTTATACCTGGGCCAAGTAGCGTCCATGCTCCTTCGCGTCGTAACACAGCCAATGTTTTTCATCCCCGTGCACCAAACCGTACCGTGTGTCCACCGGTGAACCGAAGGAGATGCAGAAAAGGGGCAAACGTAAGATAGCAACCGCCATGAAAAAACGAAGCCAGCAAGCAGCACTTCTTTCAGGCAAACAAAGCTTCAACGATCAACAAGGCTTTCACGTCAGCTTCGAGGATGACGATATGAGACGACGAGCGATTAGAAAAAGGCCCCTTCATACTCAAGTGTAAAAACAAGGCAGAATATACAGTCACACTACGACAAACCAGCAGAGGCAACACCATAAAAAAAACTCAACTACAGTAGCTCAACAAAATACAGCAATGAAACTTCAAGAAAGAAAGTACGTCCTACAATAAAAGTGAACGAAGCGTGAAGTAATTGAAAGAAATGCTGTACAGGTGGAATCTCTCCACAATAACGATTTTCTCCCTACACCGAATAGTTTCCCTCACACCATATCTCTCCATGCTATAGGAGTTCTCTACAAAAAATTCTCTACAACGAATTTTTTCTGGTCCCTTGAATTTCGTTGTGAACGAATTCTACATGTGCTAAATTATGCAAAGATCAAAAGCGTCGGTCGTATGAAGACGTTAAGAAAATCTTTAATGCAGTATTTTTGCATGAAACTCGTTAGTTTAAAATCGCTTGACAGAAAGGATTTTGAGTATCAAGCCAGCAAGTCACGCAAGAACAGACAGATTTTTAATCAAATCGGTTAATTTAAATCTCATCCACGAATTTTTTAGGGCACAGCATGTACCGTAATTTTTTTTTTCATTGAGTTCTCAATGTTTTCGATATGATTTTTTTCTTTTTAGACTGACTTCTTCACGATGATTGGCTTTACCAGAAAATTGGAACTCCAAGAAGAAATAGTTCATCTACAATTCTACAGGGAACCATTTTTAAGTCACAACAAAATTCTCGAAAATAACATAAAAATTGTCGTAAATGGAATTCCGTCTACGACAACAAAAAAAAGAAACAAGAAGAAAGGAACCAAACTACGAAGTTATTCCGCAATACTGTCGTAATACGCCATAATTCGCAATTGCAAATCATTTACGTGATTGCGTCACTGTAGAACGTGTAAATTCTATCAATTTAGAATATTGTACTTGTAATGCAAAATACTGTGCGAAAATCCCAGAACAAAAACGACCACCGCTTACTCACTGAAGAATTCGACAGCTTCCGGGTTTTGCTTCCTCTCTGTGAACGTCGGGCACATGCAATCAATGAAATGCAATCATGCTGTATTAGATAAAGAGAAAAAAGCTTTCTGAAAAAATGAATGGAAAAGGCTGGAAATAAAGAAAAAGAATGAAACTCGTCACAAAAAAAGAAGCTCATGCTCAAGAAAACTTGGCCCAGGTCGATCCTGAAAAGGTGACAGAACGCGCTATTCAATGCTGAGGGATTTTGAATGAAATTCCGAATTCTCCGGAATTTTCCGGAAGAAAAAGAAGAACTCAACAACTAGATTTCTTCATTTCATTGCCCGAAGTATTCTCACGGAATTTCAATTCGATTCATTCGCGTTAAAATACATCTTGCAAAGAACATTGGCATGCTTTTTGCAACAACAGAAATTCAATAAGAATTATCAGTTTAATCATTTTGCAGACCACGAATTTATGAATTTACCACAAAATTATTCCAGAAGCATGATCATCCATACTTTTTGACGATACAGATTTTAGTCAATTATGAACATATAGACATGAAGTGTAACTATTAGATATGGGTAATGTCAACTGTTCTTTTCCTATATAATTGAAACTTCCAGAAAAAATATTCAAATTGGTAACTTATTACAATTAAAAGGAAGATACCATAGTTGAAATAAACTATGTACCATACAAATTCAATGAAATAGATAAAGAAATAAGGAATTTCCTTACATAAATAAGGAAATAAACCTTCAGGCAAGAACTTTAATTTCTCAAGTTAATCTCCCACAAATAATGAATATTCTACAGTTGTGGTTCATAAGTTTCGAGAATTTTTGAAATACATTTAACAAAGTTTCACCAATCCCAATTTTTTGTTTTGTTTTTACTGACATATTGCCTCATCATTTGCCAACACTTCAGTGCTGTTGAACATACCCTCTGCCGATTTCAATGCACTTTTTTATGAAATAAATCCTTTTTATGCACAATTTCCGGTAGTGCTGTTTAACCCTTGGACAGCGGAGGGTTCTTTCCCATAGTGGGACAGAGTCGGATTATTTTCGTATCCTCCCGCATTTTCCCTTCTGGGAAGGTCACCAAAACCCTTCTAGGTGGGCTGAGGCAAAGTTGGGATTAATCCGAAAAAAGCTGGTAGCCTAACTGATAATTTTTTTTTTTTTGCGGGCGAAATTTTTCTGTGTTCAGAGAAAAAAGCATCGAATTTTTCCCAACTTTGCCCTTGACCACCTGTGATCATTTTTTTCAAACCTCTCCGAGGTGCCACAAAATTTTGCGAAAATAGTCCGACTTTGCCGCACAAGGGTTAAAGCGACGTATATATAAAATATCACGTCAACCTCAGCAACGCTTGACCTGAACCACACATAAAGGGGTACAACGAGGACAAGAACAAACATCTGGGCCATAAAATTTCAAACACATGATGACATCCCTTAAAAAAAATTATAGCCTCCACATATATCTTCTTTACTTGAGTACCACACGCCCTCAAGTAAGACATAGAGGGGGGTTTTTCAGTTGGAAATGTTTCTAAAATTTAATCCCCAATTAATACAAGCACCCCAATTTTTAGTGAATCTAAAACCACAAAAGTTTGAAAATAAGAACAAAAAATTTGACTTTAGGCATGAATTGAACAAAAATCTGATCAATTTTCAACTTTTTCAGTACAAAAAAGTTTTCTTGTTACATTTGTTCCAAATTTCTCCACTATAATCAAGTATATAATGCACACATAACTTCCTGCAAATTCTTGAAAAATGTATACCCACTTATGACGCGCACCCCTTTTTTTCTTCTGAACATTGAGAAAAAAGGTGCCCGTGGTACTTGGGTAAATAGGTAATACTTTTGAAAAATTACTTTACAGCACTCGGGTCACGATGATGCGGTATACAGTACTGTATATATTCCTATAATTCTAAAGCTAAAGGAGAAAAACCGCACGTGAGACCGAGTTATTGCAACCGGCAGAAGTGGACGGCTATTCAATATGAGCAACTTCCGCGTCTCTCCCGCGTATCGTGTCCCCGATCGGCAACAACGGGGGGTAAAATATAACTCTAAAACGATAAAATAAAAAGCAAAATAACTAAGCCAAGGAAAAAGAAAAAAGAAAAAAGAGGCAGGTCTCCTGCAGCACATGGGGGTCGACAAATGCTGTTTCCCGCACGACCCCCGCGAGAAAGGCACGCGAGAGCTCGGGGGTTTCCATCAACTCGTCGGAAGAGCTTTGCAACACGCGACCCCGAAAAAAACCCCCGCAAATAGGATGATGACTTCTTAGCTTCATGGGACGAATGTACAAGTACATCTAGTCTATTTAGCCACAAAAAAAAACCCCGCAAATAGGATGATAACTTATTAGCTTCTGGGACAAATGTAAAAGTACATCCAACATGCCCATGATAAATTAACACAGCAAAATTCTTCCGTGGGGAAGAAGCGGCTTTAAATGAAAAAAAAAAAATGTTCCACATTCAGAACGTCACGCGTTCCAGCAATTTTTTAGTTTAATTTTTTGAGTTTGTTCCAAAATCAAAGCAAACTGTTGTAAACGAGAAAAGGAAGATAAAATTGTTGCCATTTATAACCTCCCAAAAATACTTGATTTTCAGACGTTTCGGAGCATAACATTGCCGGGATTCATTTGGCGTATTGATCACAAGTTTTTAATAACAGCTTGCTGAACTACACAAAATTTTAAATTTTATCAAGGATTTTTTGGCTCTAGAATAAATTAATTAATACAGCATGTGTATTTTGTTTTTAATTATGCGGTTCATTAAAAAAAACCCTGGAATGGATAAGTTGTTTTATGCTCATCATATTCCGACACATGAACTTCGCGAACAACCTTGAAATCAAAGTAGAATATTCTTTCGCATTTTTTTAAAGAGTTCAAACCGCTTTTAAGTCTACTGTATCCTCATATTGTAAAATTTGGCATTTTCCCCCGGTCCCCTCCAGAAAAGCCTCTCATAATTTCAGCGATGTCTAGACGTCAGATAAGTACGCAAATGCCAAAACCGATGAGACCATGCGAAGAATATTTTATTCCGCATTCTGGTCCATGAGTTTTTTTTTCAATTCTCCATATCCACGTAAGGGAAAAGGTTTCTGGCTAAAATACGTATTTGGGCCTTTTAAAACATTACACACACTATGTAAGAGGCCCTTCAAATGGCAAACATATCCAAGTTTTCGGAAGACTACACTATATCTCCCTCATACCTTATCGAGAAGATTGCATTATCACATATACGGGAAACAACACAGCGAAAACGCGAGTGTTCCAAAACAAACACAGCATGTCAAGTGAAGATTCCGTGAGACACAACACAGCACACCGATGTGATTAAATTTGACAACAAACATCGTGAAATATTATCGACCACGTAGAGTGAAAAACAAAAATCATCATGTCCGTCGACTACCTTTTTATGAACTGCTGCTAATTGCGCCGTTCTTCGCTGCAAATCTCTCGAAACCTACGATCCCATGAAAAAAATATTCAAGAACGATTA